TGATTATAAATGCTTAATTAAGAATATTATACTTTTATAATATCTAGATAATAATCTTACTAAGATTCGAATTAAAATATATATTAGAGAGTAGTTTAAAACTAAAGAGAACCTCTTAGTACTCCTAATCTTTATCTAGAAAGTAGCCTATTACTACTATAAACGCCTATTAAAATAGCGATATCTAATAGTCTAATATAAGGGAAGCTTTACCTTTAGTAGTAGACTCTAAAGGAGTCTTTCCTAATATTTATTAATAAATACTTTTAGCTACTTATAGATTATTTATTATAAGAGAATAGTTAGTATAGTTAAAGTAAGGCGTATATATTTAATAATATTAGTAAACTCCTAATAATTAATAAATAAAAATAGAAGATATAATATAGTAATTAGATTTAGTAGCTTCTACTCCTAAATATCTTATAAGAAGATAAGAGCTAGTATATTTAATACCTATAGATAAGTTAGTAATAAAGAAAGTATAAGGAAATATAATATATAGCTATCTTAAATAAATTCTTAATATTTAGCCTTTTTAATACGAATTTAGTATAATTAATCCCCTTCCTATACTTATTTATAGATAAGATATCTATATAAATAGCTACTAGATAATTAAGAACCTTCTAATATTACTTATATATTATACCTAGCTTCCTATCTTTAGTTTTCGCTATTTAGTTAAAATCATTATAATATTCTACTTAATAGTACGCGTCCTAGTTTATACGTTTAAACTTCCTAAATTCTATCTAAAGCTACTATTTAATAAATTCCTTACTTATTATATTATAGTGTAGGGCGAAGGAATTAATATAATTAGGATTTAATATTATAAGATAAAGAGGTAAAGATATACGTTATAGGGAGTTTAGAGAAGCGAACTAATAACTATCGCGTACTAATATTAAGGTTCATTAACTTTCTAGTATATAAGGGTTTATAAAATAGTAAATTATTAGGGAGAAGATATTAAAGAGCGTCTAATAGTGCCCCCTTATAATTTAAAGACGTATAAGTATTAGAAAATTAGGATATATTTAATATAGATATATAAATATAAATATAGTAAGGAGTAGGGGACTTATAGTAAATTATTTTCTATAATTAAAATATAAAGGACTAAAATTTACTATTTACTAAGTTAATCTATTAACTCGTTAAATAAACTATTACTATTAGTTAATTTATAAGGGTCACCTATAATAACTCTTATAGGCCCTTAATAAACCTTATTATAACCCTTAATAACCCCTTTTAATCTATAATAGGTGGAGTTTTTATATTATAATATTAAATAGAGTAGTTACAGTCTTTAAACTAAGTTTATTTAGTATTTAACTTATATATCTCTATATTAAAGGTGTGAATAGTTTAAATGGAATTCTCTCGTCTTCCTAGTATAAAAAAAGTCTACCTTATAAGAAATATATTTTGTTTTAAAATATCTTTAATTTAGATATAAGGAATGCTATACGGATATATATATCTATAATATATATTTCTACTATAATATAGACTAATTACTTCCACCTCACTTAGTACCTCTTCCCTATAGTCGTATAGTGTAAAAAAAGTATAGAACTAAGAGAACCACTAGATAATATATATCGTTAACTATTAATAGTCTACCCTAGAATTAAGAAGTTAAAAAAGTTAATCTCTACCTAATACTATTAGCCGGGTTAGATTACTAATATAAAACGTTATATTAATAACTATTTACTCTATAAACGAACGAAAATATAGAGAGATAAGACCTCTAGACTACTCTATCCTCTTCTAGTTCTAGAGAGACTATAATAATATATATTAATAGATTTTCGTTTATTCCTAAAAGATCGTTATAGGTATAACGCGGTTTTTATAGTAGTTAAATATCTTCTAGGAGGTTATAGGGGTTAGATGGTAGGAAGGAAAAACTAAAGATGAAAGGTAAGAAAGTTAAGAGATAAAAAGGTTATATTTTGTTAATTGAAGTATATTCAATATAAAGAAGATATTAACCATATTATAAAAAAATTATTATCTCGGTGGTTATAGTCTTATTTATCTCTTTTGAAGATAGATCTAGATAGATCTAATTAAATGTCTTATCGTCATAATAATATATTTAAAATGTATTGTATAGTTATATTATTAAATCATTATTTTGTAATGTTGCATTTTAATAAATTCATTATATGGTTATATTTAGGGGATTGATATATTTGCCCCCCCTTTGACTATTCCTGCCCCCCCTTGCCAGAATATTTAGGCATCCACTAACCGCTCTCCTTACCGCTTTTATCTTGAAATCACTGCTTTCTCTAGTCAATTATAGTAACACTAATAGTATATCCAATTACTATATGAACCCCTAACAAAAATAAGTACCTCTTATAAAAAGTAATACTTTATATAAATTAATTTTAAAATCAATTTTATATCTTCTAACCTACCTTTCTCTCTATCAATTTCTGCTTCTTCTCTCCTTTATATATTATATTATATATTCTTTACCTTTACTACTACCACTACTACTACCACTACCACTACTATAAGCCTTACTTTATACTTAAAGTAAACCTCCGTCGCTTACCGAGTCTAATCGGAATAACTCGTCGCTATAGCGTAGGAATAACTATAGACGTAGCGCTAAGGTGCTAAGACTAAGGCTAAGGCTAGAGGTACTACGGAGATTTAATATAGAATACGCAGTTATATACGAATAGAAGCTTTTATTATATAAAATAAGCATTTCTTTCTAACTAGAAAGGTGCATTTTTTACTATATAAACTAGAATTCAAAAGTGTAGAAAAAAGTCTAGCAGAATAAATTGATACCTTAGGTATATGGCAGAAACTAGGCAGAATCAGGTAGGGGGGGCAGGAATAGCCAAAAGGGGGGGGGGCAAATATATCAATCCCCTATATTTATTAAATCATCATTTGCAATGTTGCATTTATTAAAATGCATTATATGGTTATATTTATTAAATCATTATTTGTAATGTTGCATTTATTAAAATGTATAGTATGGTTATATTATATTATATTAAATGTAATGTTGCATTTTAATAATGCATTGTATGGTTTAAATCACTTACATGTTATATTAATATGATTATAATAGTGGAAGCATTAAATTTAACTATATACACTATTATAGTCCACTTTTATTTATTTAAATATGATATACTACCTTAGTTTCTAGTTAGAGGAACCCGGCAAATAGAGGAGTAGTATACTAGTATTAAGATACCCGATTTTCGTATTTAATGCACCTCTAAGGGGTGGATTAATAACGAAACTACACTAGAATAGCTTTTCTCTTTTTATAAAGCTACGAAAGATCGAATTTAAAAGGGTAGGCCCCGCCTATTACTAATAGATAATCATCCCTCCTATATAACCTTCGAATTCACTACCTTTTATAAGGATAAATTTATCGTACCGATCTGGTTTTTACTATATATAACTTATTTATACTAACCGCTCGATAGTTAAGCTTTCTAATACTTAAAGTATTACTTTCGAAAGGCAAATAATAAGGTTATTATATAGGGTAGAAGTGTTAGTAAAAAGCGGGATTTCTTTCGGATAATTAGTAAAGTACGAACTAAGGCTTTTATATAAAGAACGATTCGATTATCTTTTAGCTCCTATAGTATATACCCTTTAGATCTAGAGGTTATTATTATACCTTTACGCGCGCGATTCGAAGATATTAATAATCTCTAGATTATTAATACGCCCTCTCTCCCCCCAGGAGATACTAAGCTTAGCTACTAATTCGCCTCCGGATACTATTATAAGGGTTAATAAGCTTAATAATAAGCTTCTGATTAAGCTAGACTAGCTAGATAAACTTTCTAGACGTATACGGAAGTATATTCGTTAAAGTATAAATGTAAGCCTACTTTTATCCTAGCGCCTAGAAATCTATAAGGCTTCTTTAAAGAAGTTTTAGTCCTATAGATCGGAAGCTAATACTTTAAAAAACAGATAGTCGATTTTTAATATAGGTATATTAGCATTATCACCTACTAGAGCAAATAGATTGATACGAAAAAGTCAGGATACCGAGGATAAGAAGCTATAGAGGCTATAGGCAAAACATGCCAAGAAATTGGAAGTCGAATAACGCGCTCAATTAGTAAGGGAAGCCGCTAAAAACGAGTATGAAGCTAGATTATTGGCCAGGGATAGTGTAGGTGGAAATTGGTATATAGATACTACTAGGGTGTTGAGATAGGTGGTGTTAAATGCATATTTCTTTCTAGGAATTTCTGTATTGTGGGACGGACCCATACCTGAAAAAGGTATGGGTAACCCGGTAGGACGGCTAATTAATAGAATATAAAGCCTACTAGCCTTATATTTAGAGTATTTTTATAAAATTTCTAACTTATTCTAGTGAAAATATAGTAATATTTAATAGACAAACTAGAATAGTTATAAGAATTAGTCATTTATTTTAATAACTTATTGGCTTTATAAACGCTAAGACCAGCTTTTTATATAATCGTGGGCTTTCGTAGGGGCCTAATAGGGGCCCACGATAGGCCGGGGGTTAGGCTTTAGGCCCAAAGGTTCGACCCCCGGCCCACTATGGGTTAGGCTTTGGGCCCGGGGTCCGGGCCTAAAGTTGGGCTTTTACGGAAGCCTAGTATAGTTATCTTTATAACGCCGTTTCGCTAGTGCCCTCCTCGATCGTCGTATACGTGCTACTTCCTCCCGTTATATATATACTAGTCTTTTTCAGATGTCTTTTTTGGTGGTATTGTCACATTCGTATCAAATAGTCTTTTTAGTTAGTCTTTTTAGACGCCTGTTTTTATAGATCTTTTCTCTCTTTTCTCGGTATATTAGGGAGAGAGCAGAAGAAAAGCGGTAAGAGGCTTAATTTGTGAAATGGAATTTTCTATGTATACCCTTTGATATAATTAACGAAGATGCGGGTGCTGGCTAAAGAGTGCATACCCAGAATAAATGACGCTACGGGAGGGGGGCATCTATAATTCCATACCGGCCTTTAGAACATCCACTACCTTCTCTTGAAAATCCACCGCCAAAGCCAGCCCTTCTGTCTTCCTGAAATCTCCCTTTAGGCAAGAAAGCACAGCTCGCATATAACCCGCCCCCATCTCTTTTGGCAGCCCCTGCACTGCCAACCCCATCAAGCCATCAACCACTTTCTTTGGCCTCGGCAGCCGCCCACTATTCTCCGCCTCCCGAATCTTCACCTCCATCAACCGTGACAGCGTAACCCACAGCCCGATTTCGAGAAGTACCACACCCAGCGCATATATATCATGCAGGCGGCTAAACTGGTGTGTTGGGCGACCCTGCCGACTTGGATGGCGGTAGAGATTAGGCTCAACTTCAAAATCGGAGCGCATGTCTGTGCCTTGTTGTACGGATCGTGCATAACCCCAGTCGCCTAGGTAGGAGACAATCCTGTTTCCAGGGCTAGGTATGGAAAGGCGAAGCTCATAGAGGCCCGAAGAGCTGACGTCTTCGGAGGTCTCGACGAACAGAAGGATACCCCTGCTCCAGATATTTTTGTGGACCCATGATGAGGCGTGGACATTGCAGAGCGTTAGAGCAAGACTATGTGCCATACTGAAACGATCGTTGAGAGTGGGCCTTTTGAGTGGTCGTTTGTTTGAGCTGTCGACTGCATTGATAAATGCGTGTAGGGTTGTTAGCGATGGCCCGGTTACTGTGTCGGACGCTGGGAGCTTATAGAGGAAAACGCTGCGTTCCTGGATCGGTTGATCGATAAAGCCGAGACATTCCAGCGCATAAATTCTGGGCTGATCAAGGGAGTCGGGTGATTTGCTGATGAAGGTGGTACTTTGGAGAAGCCAGGCCAGGTTACGAATGGGTTCTTTGAGCTTTTGTACTTCGTCTGGCTCTAAATCGTCGCGCTTGAGCTCACTCTCGTACTCGTGATACTCGACAATTACTCGTGTTGCTTCGGCACCCGAAGACCACTTCCCCAGTTGGAACCCCCCATTGGCTTTCCTTCTTCGGTGATGGTACCAGTTAAACACGGGTAGTCCGCTGGGGCCATGGCCTCAGCCAGTATACGCCGATTCATGACCGGTTCCAGACCACTACTTTTCAGTCCTTGATGATTGCCTTCGACTAGCTTGGCTAGCATATCCTGCGACATGTGCTGCATGAGGTTCCGCAGATCTTCAGACCACTTGGTATACGCCTCCAGGATTTGATTAAGCTTCTTCTTGTCAAAGAGCGACCAGTCGTACCCCTTGAGCTTGAGCATTTTGGCTTTACTCTTTGCCCGCTCCACCAACGACTCTTGCGCTTTGGGCTTCTCAAACTCGATGGTGTACTCCTCATCCACGAGACCGTACTTGGCTGCCACGATCTCATACTCAGCCAGTGTTTTCCTCATCTGCACCAGCAAACCTTCCACCGTGTCGGCGATAAAAGGCTCCACCTTTCCTGGGACCATCAACCCATGTTCTGGATGGAAGAAAGTACGTTTGAAGAAGAGAAGAGTGGATAGCTGGAGATTCAGCTTGAGTCGGATCTCGGCACGGCCGTCATCAAAGGCCCTAACGTCGGAGATAACGCCTTGAATGAAGACGGTGACCTGGTAGATCTGGGTGATGGCCGTCACTGCTGTGCCATATACGTCCATTTTATTCTTTTTCCTTTTTGTTGAAATTAAAATACAGAGAAGAAGAGTGGAATTGAAATGAGGGGCTGAGAGTCAGCAGAGTCAGCACTAAGCTGTTCCTAGGTAAGTGGGCTTATTAGAAGATTCTCCCAGAAATATCTTCATCGACAATCATCTCATATCTTTTCTCATCTACTTATTTTCTCTATCCAACAATGACAGACGACTATGATGATATACTCAACTCCCTAAATAATAACTACTATTATATAGATGGAAACAATCTATCTCCTTCCCTTGAAACCTGGTCCAATTCTAGCGACATTCAAGAATTTGACCTCAACAGTCTCAACCTCTCCCACTCTGATTCGTCATGGGTTGACCTTGACCCTTTAGAGTCAGCCATAACGTCCACTCGAAATGGCTCTGCCCCAGTTCTCAGTACCCTTTCTCAATTCACTGCCATCCTATCCCAAACTGGTATCCACGGCCCTCGTCTCATCAGACCGGCCAATCTCTCCACCCGAGCCACTAAGATCGGCTCTGGTGCTCAATTTACCGTGTTCAAAGACCCCATATTCGAAGGAGAGGTCATCAAGCGTGTTAATGTCCCACTATCAAACATAGCGGAACAGCGCTTCTCAGCAAGCATAGACTATCGCTTACAGCTAAGAACATTGGTACTAGAGGTACTATCGCTCTGCAACCCCGTTATCCGTGCGCATCCAAACATCACCAGTCTCATGGCATGGGGGTTTGATTTCCCCTTTGCGGATATGGCCGTGCCCGTGTTGTTTATGGAGGAGGCCATGATGACTTTGGGGGACTTTCTGGGCGCTGAGAAGAGGGAGGTGGGAGTGATGTATCAGCTTGCGCTAGGTGTAGCAAATGGGCTGGAAGCGCTGCATAACCTCAAGATCGTGCATGGGGATGTCAAGCCGGACAATGTGCTTGTGTTTGCCGGCCCGAGTGAGAATATGCCCTTCCAAGCTAAGTTAAGTGATTTCGGGGTTTGTGTTGATTTAGAGACACCCGAGGGGAGATTTGCGTTGAGTGATTACCGTGGAACGCCGGCTTGGTTGGCACCTGAAGTGGTGAATGGGGATGTTTCGAGCTTTGGGGGCTTCTCGCCGGAATTGATGTTCAAGTTTGATGCGTATAGCTTCGGCATGGTGCTCGTGTCTATTTTCACCGGTGGTCAGGTTCCCGTTATGGATAGGAATCCTGACAGGGTCACAGATCAGATTTACAAGTTGCTCAGCCAAGCAGATATACCCTCAACTATGCGCACTGAGCTGCGCAAGGCAGCTTTGAAACTATTGTCCCAGGACCCTAGAGAGAGACCACTCCCAAGTGCAACTTTGCTCAAGATCGACATCCCGACCTACGCTTTCTGGTATCTCAACCGTTCCTTCATTCACATCGATCAATGGCTGATAACTAACCCTAGGTTTTCCTCAATCCAACCCAACTCCACAAACACTCATGTAGGAACTATTGATCCAATATACAACAAAGGTCCGCTCTTCTGGTACAGGCTCGATCAGAGTATTCGAACAGAGCTTGAGGAGCAGCACGCGCTCAGTAAGGGAGGGAATGCGCCTCCATTTGCAGGAGATGTGCTTTTTGGGATGGCGCAGACAATTACCGGCGAGAAGCCGATGTACCTCAATCGAATGCTAACGTATTTGGGTGACGCAGCGAGAGGGGGATACTCACCGGCTAAGGCTGTATATGCGCAGATTATGGAGGCGCATGGTCAAACGCCGGAGTTCAGCAACGAAGTGTTGGAAGAGTGGATGCTGCAGGCTGTTTCCGAGGGGTACCTTTTTGCGAAACCTGGTGGATTGGAGAAGAGAGTGGAAGAGGCGAAGAACCGGTTTAGAATCCAGGGGGGTTCTGCTCAGACCCATTCCTGCGGAAAAGTGATGTTAAGGTGGCAATGAACAGGGAAAAGGCACTGAAGTGGAAGATCAAGAACGGGAATTTTGTCGATCGTACACGGAATACGATATTGCATGCTGCTGCTGCTTTTGGGGCTGCTGATGCGTTGCAGGGTCTAATGGATGATGCAAAGATAGAGGTGGACGTGGAGAATGAGAATGCCGAGACGCCGTTGTATAAGGCGTTTCAGGCGGGACATACGAAAGTGATTGAGGTCCTGCTTGGCCATGGTGCGAGTGCGTCCTGTAGAACTCGACAGAAGATCACTCCTCTGCATTGGCTGTTTATGATCCCCGAGGGTTCGATCCGTGAAATCGCAAAACGGATGGTTGAAAGAGGAGCAGATGTCAATGCAGTGATGGAGCCCGTCAAGGATCACAACAGTGGATTCTCAGAAAAAATCCAGATACTTCATTAGTATGTTCTTCTTCTCCGTGTCAACATCAAGCTAACATGTCAGCCCGTTTGAACTTCCACATGGGTCACCTCTTCACTGGGCATGTTTCTTCCGCAACATGACAGCCATCAACGCTCTCATTTCCCTCGGGGCTAATGTCAACGCATTCTATCATGGCTCAGACCCGTCAACCACTCCACTTGCGTTGGCAGCGTACTTTGGGGAGCCTATCATAGCCAAATATCTGACATCTCATGGTGCGGACGGCACTTTACTCGACTCAATCGGACGAAATAACTTGCACGGAATCACGAAGTATTTTCCTGACCGGCATGGCTACCTGCGTCATCACTGGCATTATTGGATTCGCCATGGGACTTGGGAGCATCATTTGGCGCAGATCGCGGATTTGGTCAATATATTGGTCGAGGCTGGTGCAGACATCAATGCCAAGGATAAGGGGAAACCTTGTCTGACCCCCCTGGCAGCGGCAGCCGATCGGGGATGCTGGGATGGGGGTATGATATGTGCATTGCTGGATGCTGGAGCTGATTTGGGGGAATCAATCCTGACCATGGGAGATACAGTCCTGCATTCATGGGCCTCTATCGTTGGACCGCGTCTGGATTACCCAGATTCATACCTACCGACATTGAAAAAGATAGTCAAGGCTATGCCAAACCTTGACGTCTGTAACCGGTTCGAAGAGGCTACTCCACTCCATGAGTTAACAACCATCTACCACTCGGAGAACGAATTCGAGGCTGCATGCGAGATTTTCCTCGGTCACTCCCGTCCAGCAGACATCAATGCAAAGACCCGTCGTGGCGAATCCCCACTATCTATAGCTCTGGAGACAGACCTCGATCCCGCACGACGAGGCCGCTTCTTGCTCGAGAAAGGGGCCGATCCCCTCGTTCTCAACTACCGAGGGCGAGACGTCTTCTATTCAATTGCCAACAACCTTGTTCTCGCTGACCAAGACAGTCACGACCTCATCCAGCACCTTCTCCTTCATCTCAGCCCTGACATCCAAAAGGCCTACACAAAGTACTATCTCCACAACCCCAACAGCAACGAACCCCTCTTCGCCGCCGCAGACAGCGGAAAACCGTTCACGTTAAACCTCCTCCTCTCTCTCGGTCTTGCCAGCTACATCAATAAGCCTAACACAACGAAGTCTCCACCGTGGACCCCCCTAGATCGCGCTCTCCACTCCGCCGAGCTCAGCCGCCGCGCACACATGCGGAAACTGGCATCTTACAAACCTGGTGCAGCACGAATTAAAGCGCTGAAGCAGAACCTCGTCTACGATGAAACCCAAGGTCCACCGGCGCGTGCAGCTGAATCGTACAGATCATTTCCAGAGGTTATCCGGATCCTTCGAGATGCAGGGGCTAAACGGACATGTGAGTTGGAGGGCACAAAGGGGGATTATATTGAACAACCGAGGGAGTGGGATCAAGAGGAAATTCAAAAGTACGGATTTACGGTGGAGACACAACCGAATGTTGAGGCATGGAGGGGATTATATGAATTGGCTAGATACCAGAGTGGAAATTGGCTGGGTATGTTGATGGGGAAATGAGGGGATAAAGTCGTGCACATACATAGTTGTCATATTGTACTAACTACCTAGGTAGGTAACTAGGGCTGAACTGATCACATGTATGATTAGTCAGCCATTACTACTTCCAGCCCAGGTGGGCATTTTCGAATTTCAGTTATCGCATCGCATGTTATACATGGAAAAGTCGCCTTTTTCACTGCCGACATTCCATATTTTGCGGCTAATTCTTCTTGTTCTCCTAGATACAACACCAATAAGGGGGGAAATATGTATAAAAAAAACACATCTAAAGACTTTGAAAAAGACTACCAAAAAACACACACATGACAAGGGCGCTTATGCGGCAGACTATTCTTGTACTATATATGAAGAACCCTTAAATATAACACATATATACCCTTCCAAGCTTTATGCCTTTGTACGATCTAATCTTCTCCCTCGGGACGGATATCCGGCAGACTCGGAGTGGCAAAGTGCGGGATGTGAAAGGCTTGGTCAACCAATCAGAGTGGCTGATATTCACCTTATTCACCTTATCCTCGGCCTCCTAATTCCCTTAAATTCCACCTTTGGATCTTCCAAGGTTGTTCCTTGTCCTTATCTCTCTCTCCCTCCCCCCCCCCAAAACCATGTCTTTCTCAAATTTGGTCTCCGACATTGCCTTTCGTGATGCTCGTGTGGATGATGGCAGCTCGCAAATTTCTCATGCCCGATCTCACCGGTCTCACGCGACCGCCCGGTCGTATGCCAGCACTACAGCCACAAGCGTCAGCATTTCTGGCGAAGTTTCCAGCCAGCTACATTCTGGATACAGCCATCCTCTGACCAGAGCATGGCAGGCCGACAGGCAATTGACAAAGGTCCGCCCCTCAATGGTGTTATGAAACACATAAATCGCCCTGGCAACTCATCACTAATACATTGTCTCTACAGGATATGCTCATCTATCCGTTGTTCATCACAGACAACCCTGATGAGGAGACATTAATTCCTTCGTTGCCCAATCAACACCGCCGTGGAATTAATCGCCTGGTTCCTTTTCTTGCCCCCCTTGTTCGGAAGGGGCTGCGCTCGGTAATGCTGTTTGGTGTTCCGCTTCAGCCGTCTGCCAAAGATGCACTGGGAACCGCCGCAGATGACCCTGACGGTCCTGTGATTCAAGCTATTCGTCTTCTCCGATCTCGTTTCCCTCAACTTTATATCACAACCGATGTGTGCCTCTGCGAGTATACGTCACACGGTCACTGTGGTATCTTACGAGAAGATGGAACCCTCGACAATGCGCAGTCCGTTGACAGAATCTCCGATGTAGCTATTGCCTACGCGGCGGCTGGAGCTCACTGCGTGGCCCCATCAGACATGAACGACGGAAGGATCCGGGCTATCAAACTCAAGTTGATTGAAGCCGGTGTGGCACACCGTGTACTTTTGATGTCTTACAGTGCCAAATTTAGCGGCTGCTTATATGGACCGTTCCGTGATGCGGCTGGCTCCTGTCCCTCATTCGGGGATCGACGGTGCTACCAGCTTCCTCCAGGCGGCCGCGGTCTTGCCCGACGTGCGATACAGAGAGACATGGCTGAAGGTGCAGATATTATCATGGTGAAGCCGGCCAGCAGCTACCTTGATATCATCCGGGATGCCAAGGATTTGGCACCGGATCTTCCAGTGGCCGCCTACCAGGTCAGTGGTGAATTTGCAATGATCCATGCCGCTGCCAAGGCCGGTGTCTTCAATCTCAAGGATATGGCCTTCGAAAGCACAGAAGGCATATTGAGAGCAGGCGCTGGGATTGTGATCAGTTATTTCGTCCCGGAATTCCTTGACTGGCTTTAGTTGTGTATTCAACTCGCCATTTTCTCCTTTGCTACATTTTCTCCACTCCAAAAGTGCGATTTTCGGGCCTCTCATTTTCCGTGTGATTACCATGACTGCAGTTCTACATCTGACTTCTATGATGGGTCTGATGTATTGAACATAAATTGCTACTTGAAACTGGATAGATTCCCCTTATGTGATATGATGTTTCTATTTTCTTGGTTAACGATTACCCCTTATTACAATGTTATTAATTTCTTCTTTTTTCTGTCCAATCGATATCGTAGCAGATATTTGATTTTTAATTGACACATAAAACTTTGTAGCAGAAATCGATATTGAATTGAGGTAAATAATGCAGAGGCAGTGTGTGTATGTATAGACTGCAAGATGACACCCGGTTCGCCGCACAGAACGCTAATAACATACAAATTTAAGGAAAACCAATCGTCAGCGACAGTGGATATCACAATCAAAATCAAAAATCAGTAAAAAAAGAATCAGAATCAAAATCAAATCAAACCAGAGGAAGAAATCCATGGGGAGTCATAATTTTGCTCTCCCACCTATTGGTGTGGGTAGACCAGCACCGTAGCGGAAGGTCATCCGGCATTTTCACATACAAAAATCAATCCACGTCACTTCGTTCACATAGCAAAGCTGGGTTTTGATCCCTGAAACATGTAACCTGCAATGTTCGTGTTGACAATCTCTCCCGGGGCCACATAAACCCCACGAGCAAGACGAACCCCTGGGTAGATGACGCACCCCGCGCCTATATAACAATCTTCTTCGATGATTACCTGACGACCTTGATACCGACTTTGCGAGCCTTTGCGCTCTTGCATGTTGGGATGAGCAGTTGAACTAATTATTTTGACGTTGGGGCCTATCCATGTATGAGCACCGATGCGGATCACACAGTCGTCCACAAACAGGCAATTCTCCGAGATCATGACGTCTTCCCCGACGTGGATGTTATAACCATAATGGCAACTAAAAGGAGCTTCGATGACTGCCCCTGGGCCGATGGTTCCGGCAGAGCGAGGCACACCGGTTCCAGCTGGTGAATTAACAATGGAACCTGCCGGGGGGATGATGATCTCCTTCAGGAGGCGTTGTTGCTCTTTCGAACTGATGCCGTTGAGCGGATTGCAGGAGTTGTTAAATTTCCATAATGCGCCTCGGCAACGATCCCTTTCCTCCACGAGGTGGACGTCAAATGGTCGGTAGAGTTTGCCCCTGAGCATCTTTTCCTTCTCGGTTTCGTCACTCGAGACGGTACGGCTAGAGAGCTGATGCTCGATGCTTAGTGCCATTCGAGCTTGCGCCTGGGGGCTATGGGTGTCCACAGCCGCCGCGGGCAATGTTCGTTGCTCGGGCCCATTTTGGAACAAGGGCATATTGGATTTAGGATGAGATGGATGACTGAGGTCCCGAAGTGAGGAGATGACTGGATAGTCAGGTTTCGGACGTCCTTCCCGTGATAGCTCATGGATGGGTGGAACTTCCCGATAATCGACGACTTTCGCTATGGGTTCGGATGGATAAGAGGGGTGACCGGTATTGGACCCGGGCCCCGGACCGGCACCTGGCCAAGCTTGTTTTGACCACGCATGGTTGGATGGTGTATGTGTTGGGCTGGTGTTGTATTGTTGAACGGGGCGGTCATTCTCCTCCACCACCAGGGGCCTGATTTTTGTTGCGTCGACATGCTCCACTAAGCTCGGTTGTCGGTCTTGGTGTCGAGGTGGTGTTTCTTGCACATACGGGCCATTGATGTCTGAATAGCCTTCTTTGGATTGCAAAGGAATCGGGGTTTTTGTACTAGATGGCTTTTGCCAGGTGCTTCGGGACGAATACCCCTCACACAGGAAGCCTCCACGAAGACAGTTGTTGCCTACAATGCATCATTAATGTCGCTCTTTCAGTTGAATTTGGCCACGGGAATAATTTAAAAAGGGAAAAGAAAATGCGGGAGCTAGAGCCATTAGGAGTGGACTTACATGCCGGATGTTGCTCGTCGCATTTCTTTTTTCTGCGGCGGCAGGTCATACAGCCTGTCTTCGTTCGGTTACTAAATACCCGCTTCCTCTTTGGAGCCACCTGCATTGCCCCGTGTCGATCTGGCGCATAACCAGGAGAGGATGGCTGTTGAGCGCCGGGGGTCGAGCGATTTGTCATGGACCTTTCTTGGCCTGCCTCGCGTTGAAGAGCGTCTGCTAGATGGGCATCCGATGCATCCATTTGCTGGGCCCGTTGTGCCTGGGTGATCAGCTGAGAATCATATTCCGACCAAGGACTATTGGCGGAGGTTTGGCCCGCATCATTGCCCTCAGACCGGTGAGATGGTGTTGCAGAATGATTGCCACGCTCCATCTCCAAGGCCGATCCTGGTATGCTGCCATTCGGATTGGGTGGGTTGCTCTCGGCAAGACGGTTCCCCGGGCTCCTGGGGGTATTCACGGAATCTCGTTCTCGGGACTCTGATCTCTTTCTCTTATTCTTGTTATGAGAGCCGCTGGGCGAGGATCTTTGCGACCACTTCTCTTGATCATTGGCAGGATCGTCCCGGTCATCACGCTGACTGGGATCTAAGTTGGTCTTTTCCTGGGCTGGCGCACGTTCCCCATTGGGGATGGAACTGGGGGTTGACCCATTCCCATTCCCATTCCCATTGCCATTCCCAGAGGTCACGGGTTCTCTGCCATTAACTGCGGTAAATCGGGATGGGCTGTGCTCCGTCCCCGTCTCGGCCCCAGAATCGTGACTACCATTCATGACGGTTGCAGCAGCAAGAGCCGTCATTATAGAAGCCAAGAAACAAAGACAGGCGAAACCAGAGACCACGAAGAATAGGGCTGAGGTTACACCGAGAGGTGCAAGAGACTATTCAAAGTATATGGCGGATATAGGCAAAAGTTGCAACTCAATTGCCAAGAAATAGCCCCCAAATATGAAGGATCGTCGCAAAGAGAAGAGAACAGAGGCTTTCAAAGTTCCGGAAATACTTCCAATGTCTTTTAGTCGCGCTTTGTTGGGTGCGTGGAATTGCAAGTTAAGTCCACCCGCGGGTGGGGCGAGGAGATCGGGAGATTATCAGAGATAGTATACAAGATTTGAAAAATAGAGCTTTCAACCAGGTGATTTTTTAATAGAAAAAAAAAGGAAAAAAAAAGATATAAATCAAGAAGAAGTAG